TGCATGTCTGTCACTCTCCACTTCAGAGTGTCTCATCTACCTGAAGTGTGCAGCAGCTGAGCTGACACACTCTAACCTATCACTTCAGCATGGCCTTTCCATATAAAACTCTCTCCTATTCCCTCTATTTTCTTCCAAAGCTCAGAGCTGCGCATTCAGCTGACTTAACTTAGAAAAGTCCGCTGTAGGCACTGTCAAACCCTGGGCCAATTGGACTCCCTTTCTCCGGAGCAGTCATACCCCACCCTGCATTTCTGCTTAGCTGCCGCTGAGAGCTGGTTCCCTTCCAAGTTCGGGCCCTAACCACATGGCGAGGTGTGGCCCTCCCACAGGTGCCCTGTGGTGTGCTGGGAGGAGGTGCTGCCTTTTACAAGGCTCACAGGATTGGAATTCCTGGAGGACACGTTAGTCACCCTTGCCAGTGTCCTCTTCGGTCTTTGAGCTTTAGACATTCCAGCCCGAGCTGGGTCTCTTCATGATCTTGCTTGCCCCTACAGAGTAGGCAGAAGACAGGGAAGGGCACAGCCACACTAAGCTCGGTTCATTCCCAGGGCTGACTGCGGCCAGCGCATGTCCTCGGGCAGCACTGCACAGAGCAGAGGGGAGGCTGGGCCTTCTATGGGGGCCAGGGAGGTTGAGAAAAGGAGAGCCAATGGATGCCTTGGCCTCGAGAACATCTTCAGCAGGTCCCTCCCAGGGCAGAAGACATGTGGAGTGGCCTTCTAGAGTGGGCCCTCGTGTGTGGTCCCTTGAGGAGAGGAGGGTGGGCTCCAGAGCGTGGGGAGGAAGGCCGAAGGCGCCTTTTGGCGGGGTGGGAGGGCCGCTTCCCTGCTGCACTTCTTGGTCGTGTTTAAAGCTGGATTGTTTGAGAAGCAGAGTGTTTTCAGCCTCAGCAGCCTGGATGGCAGCAGAGCTGGCCTGCCCAGAATTGGGATAGGTAGCTCCGTGGGCCTTCCCTCCAGCTCCAGAGGCAGGCAGCCGCCATTTCCACCAGAGGTGGCACGAACTCCAGGTGTTAAGGGCACCCAAGGGGATTCGGCTGGCCTGTGTGGACAGAGCCTCGCAGACAGAGATGCCCTTGCATTTCGTCTCCATGCAGGCTGCACCCCAGCTGCTTTTTAAGGTGGACTGTGACCTTGCTGGGCAAATTCAATAATGAGCAAATGTGATCGGGTTGAAAGCTCTTCGCTTCATGGAAGGAAACGAAGTACTGATTAACAAGCAGATCGTGTTCCCAAGCGAGATTTGTTTCCTGAAAGAGACAAGATTGAGAACAGTCCGTTTTCTGTTTTCAGTGAGTTAAGAGAAGATACAATGCTAGTAACTATTGAATGAGCATGTGCTGGGACAGAGGGCATGTGGCAAGGCCACAGCCACATTAGGCCAAATGCCACCTCTGAAACTGGTGGGCAGCAGTGTTGAAACCATAGTGACGGGGAACGCCAGCTTTAAATCCAGCATGTCCGTAGTGGTACCGAGCACTGCCTTGAGTAGCCCATTGGTGTCTGACATGGCGGCCATCACTCCTGAGGAAGAGGACAGTGCCAGTGGGTCCTCCAAGAGCTGGGACGACCGTAAAGCCAACACTGGATTTCTGCCACATACTGGTCCTTTTCAGAGCGTCAGACTGGCATCACAGAACCTTTGCTGAGCAAGGGTGGACTCCCGGTTCTCTACACCTTAGGTGCCATATAAAGTAGAAGTAAATACAAATATATACTTATAAATATGAATATATATATATATATATATATATATTCATATTTATATATATCAAATAAGTGGGAACCAGACAGAATGATAAATACTGTAGGAATAGTTAGGCAACCAACCAGAACAATACTTTATTCTCTTTTTTTTATAATAAATAAACTCTGAACAAATGGATGGACAGTTAGATGTAATATATGAAACCGTGACATTTACTAGAAGAAAATATAGGAGGGTATTTATATGACCATGGTTGGGAAAAGTCAGAAACCATCAAGAAAGACTAGTTTCTTTTTTTTTTAGAGAAAGATTTTTGCTATAGGACATGCATGCTCACTGGAGAGATAGACAGAAACTGAGAAATCATGCCCTGGGTGGGGGGTGACCATCCCACAAACCCTTCTCCATTCTCTAGGGATTTGGGACATGTACACACATGTGCCTCATGTGAATTCCAAGCTTCCGGGTCTGGGACTTGAACTGCAGTTGACTTGTGGGAGTCCAGCGCTTCAACCACTATACCACCTGGTGATTCTGAAAAACTAGTTTCTTAAAAATGGAAAACAAATGTTCAGAAACAACACACACAGAAGGCCAGCGGCAGACCAGGAATCATTTGTCACGGACATCATAGGCAAAGGCTGACTTTCTTCAGAGCCTTTTATATTGATAGCTGACAGTGAATACCTCTGTAACATAAGGAGAATTAAGGAGTATCGATCATTCAGTTCTTAGAAGAAAACACACTAGTCACTAATAATATGAAAAAAATTTAGCCTCAGGCCAGTCTGTAATGTGGTTAAGGTGGCTAGAGCCCATATGGCCACTTACATGGTTCAATTCCAGGACCCGGGAGCCTGAAAAATACTCTAGGTGGGGCCAGCAGCTGGCGTGGTGGTTAAAGCGGTAGATTCCCACATGACTAACCATGGTTCAAGTCCTGGATCTGATATATTGCTTTCTCACTTTCTCTCTCTCTCTCTTTCTCTCTCTCTCTCTGGTCAAATTAAAAAACATTGATAATAATAATAATAATAATAAATAAAGTTAAATACAAAAAATACTCTGATATATATATATATATATATATATTCATATTTATATATATCAAATAAGTGGGAACCAGACAGAATGATAAATACTGTAGGAATAGTTAGGCAACCAACCAGAACAATACTTTATTCTCTTTTTTTTATAATAAATAAACTCTGAACAAATGGATGGACAGTTAGATGTAATATATGAAACCGTGACATTTACTAGAAGAAAATATAGGAGGGTATTTATATGACCATGGTTGGGAAAAGTCAGAAACCATCAAGAAAGACTAGTTTCTTTTTTTTTTAGAGAAAGATTTTTGCTATAGGACATGCATGCTCACTGGAGAGATAGACAGAAACTGAGAAATCATGCCCTGGGTGGGGGGTGACCATCCCACAAACCCTTCTCCATTCTCTAGGGATTTGGGACATGTACACACATGTGCCTCATGTGAATTCCAAGCTTCCGGGTCTGGGACTTGAACTGCAGTTGACTTGTGGGAGTCCAGCGCTTCAACCACTATACCACCTGGTGATTCTGAAAAACTAGTTTCTTAAAAATGGAAAACAAATGTTCAGAAACAACACACACAGAAGGCCAGCGGCAGACCAGGAATCATTTGTCACGGACATCATAGGCAAAGGCTGACTTTCTTCAGAGCCTTTTATATTGATAGCTGACAGTGAATACCTCTGTAACATAAGGAGAATTAAGGAGTATCGATCATTCAGTTCTTAGAAGAAAACACACTAGTCACTAATAATATGAAAAAAATTTAGCCTCAGGCCAGTCTGTAATGTGGTTAAGGTGGCTAGAGCCCATATGGCCACTTACATGGTTCAATTCCAGGACCCGGGAGCCTGAAAAATACTCTAGGTGGGGCCAGCAGCTGGCGTGGTGGTTAAAGCGGTAGATTCCCACATGACTAACCATGGTTCAAGTCCTGGATCTGATATATTGCTTTCTCACTTTCTCTCTCTCTCTCTTTCTCTCTCTCTCTCTGGTCAAATTAAAAAACATTGATAATAATAATAATAATAATAAATAAAGTTAAATACAAAAAATACTCTGGGTGCATGAGCACATGCACCCCAAATTTAGAAAGAATGGAAGAAGAGATTACAGCATGACCATCCCTTTCTGTATTTGTCTTTCTAGCAAGCACATGCTGTGGCAAATTAAAAAAAAAAAATCATCTTTACTAGTATTCATCAGATAAATATAAAATTAAAATGAAATACCGTTCCTCTTCTACCAAATTGGCAAAGAATAAAAATGTCAAAGTCCAGATAACGCCAGTTTTACCTGTGCGTAATATAAATGTGGATGCAGCTTCAGAGTTCCCAGAGAAGTAGAATTTGTGAGCAAAGAGGATTTGAGACTGACAGCTTGCTATTGTACTAAGTGTTCCTTTTACATAAGAACTTGAAGGAAGCGGTGAGATTTAATACTGCTAATTTGTTCATAGTGGGCAGTGTTTGGGGGAAGTTAAGTCTCCAATCTAAAGTTGGTGCTGATTCCAGTTTCCAACTTGAGAATAATTTAATTCCTGCAGGGCTTTTTCAGCCTCACTGCATTGGCTTTCTGATGCTGGGCTGGGTACATTCAGGGAGAGGGGCTACCTATGGGGTCTTTAGACCTGGTGGTAGCATGGCAGTGACACCCTGACCCTGGACATCTTCATGGCATCTCACCAGCCCATTTCCAGTGGGTCTGCATTTTTCAAAGATCTTGCCAAACACTTAAGGAGGCCATAGTTGTGTTTAGTTCACTGTTGGGCCCCTGGGGCCTCGATCTGAGCTAGGCAGAGGGCAGGTGCTCGGTAAGTGTGGGCTGAGAGACCAGAAGTAGCGTGCTGGGTACTGGGGGTGCAGCAGTCAGCCGTAGTCGGCCTTCCCTAGGACTGGCTGTCTCACAGGCAGATCAAATAATAACGGCACAAGACACATCAGGAAGGGCCGTGCCGGGCACACGACGCAAGGTAGGGTCTGAGGCCCCCATTCCGGGGCAGCAAAATGAGGAGCCCTGCCCTGAGGAGTGCTCGGCCCTGCGAGGTGCAGGTGGATGACAGGCTGGCCCTCCCTTGGTGGGCGGGGTCTGATGAAGGAACTGAGGAACATGTAGTGCCGCGTTTAAACTCGTGATGCTCTGTATTTGCCATACCCTAACATAGTGTTTGCTTTTTTATTTCTTTTTTTTTTTTTTTTTAATTTAAAGGATTTTTTTGTTTTGTTTTGTGTTTCTGATAGATGAGGGTTACTACCAGGGTGGAAAATTTCAGTTTGAAACTGAAGTTCCCGATGCATACAACATGGTGGTGAGTAGCCTGCGTTTGAGCCTGTTATTCTCCTTCGGGTGGGTGCCTGCGACTGGTGGCTGCGCTGCCTGTCTACAGGTGCCCACGTGGGGCTGGGTGCAGAACTTCTGCGTTCTCTGTGGCTAAATCACCCCCCAAGCAGTATTTAGAGCTTCGGAAGGAAATTTACTTACTCAACAAACACTTCGGTGTGCCAGCCAGCCTACAGATGTTTTGTGTGTAAAACTCAATCCTTATCATCTGGCACTGAAGACAAAGGCATTTTATTTAAAATTGTAGTATTGTCTGTAGGACAAAACCAAACTCCCAGAGTCTATAAAATGGGTATTTTAGAATTTCAGAGCGGAATGACACCTTGTCCTTTGACACACTGCAGTTTTTGCGCATTGCTTTGTGTGGATCTGCTAAAACCCCACTTGGTAATAATCACACCAAATACTATCACATTCTTTCTTTGCTTTTAGGAACACACACGCTACTTAGGGGTGCAGGAAGGAAGGTGAAATGATGAAAGCGCGGGAGCAGACAGCATAGAGGCTGATAAACGACAGGAAGCTAAGTCAGGGAGTTCAGAGAAGGAAAAGAGATGCTCGATTTGAAAAACGGTTGAGTCCAGCTAAGCTTTTAAGAAGAAATTGAATTCGAGTCACCCCGATTGGCCCAGACCCTCACAGGGAGACGTGTTCTGGCTGACGTGGGGATATGGGGCCCTGCAGGCATGAGTGTGGAGGGCAGAGGCCAATTCCGTCTGGGGGGAGGTTAGATCAGAAACTATGCCCAAGAAGAGGGAAAGCTCACAGTCGGAGCGCTGGTTGGGCATCGTTAGTTCGGCAGTGAGAAACCATTGAGGACTCACGTCCCCAGTGGGGTGTGAGGGGATGTGACAAGGTGGAGTGTCTTCTTCTGAACTGCTGAGTTGGCTGGCTCAGTCGTATTTATATATATACAGAGTCTTTGAAACGTTCATGGAGAACGTGTATCATGAAGAAACTATGCATGCGGGACCAGCAGTTAGCGTAATGGCTATGTCGCTGGACTCCCACGTAGTCGACCGCGGTTCGCGTCCCAGACCCGGTGGCTTAAAACTCACACCGGGCGTGTGTGCGTGCGTGCCCAAGATCCCGAGAGGAGAAGGGATTGCGGCGTGGCCATCCCCCCTGGGAGGTGATTTCTCGCTTTCTGTCTCTCTGTCTGTCTGGCAAGCACACGCGCCCTATAGCAAAAACCTCTCCAAAAAAAAAAAGAAAAGAAAAGAAAATATGCATGGATTTCAGACATTTTCGACAGCAAATGAAATTCTTACATTAATTCCTTACATTTTTCCACAGACTTTTCTAAGGGCCCGTGTATATATATATCTCTTTGTTTCTCTTGATCTTTTCTAATCTCTTGGCTGTCAACTAGGAAAGAAGCATCTGACGGTGCGATGAAAACTGGAGTCTCATTAGGGATGCGGGTAGGGGACATCCTGTGCCCCACTAACTAGCAGTGACTACAGTAACTGTGTCCCTGCTGTCTGACAAGCAGGGTATCCCCAGACCCCAGTCACCAGGTGCATTTCAGAGGCCGCGGTTCTTTTTTTGTTTGAAGCCAGACCTTAATCTCTGGAAGTCAATTTTACGGGGCTAGCTGTAATCACTGGAAATGGATTTCACTGAGCTGCTACATTAAAGGTTCTTTTTGAAATATAATTTATGAGGGTGGGGATGAGTTGGCAGTCCAAGAAAGAAAAAAAGAAATTTAATTTTTAAACAAAGACAGGAAAATTCATCTGACCATTCAGCTACCTGGTAAGCCTTTCCATCTTCTCCAAATCATAGCCGACAAGCCTGGCTGACAGAATGTGCCTACTGCCTCGGACAGGCAGACTGAGATTTAGCTTAAGTACAATATTTAGAACTCAGGTGCTGAGTGGTTCCTGGAAACCGCTAGGCATACAGTATTTCAGACTCCAGACCTGCTGCTAGTCAGCTGAACGTGGGCCACCCTGAGATTACACACTCTAAGTCAGGGTGTTACAGTGAAGGGTGGTACGTTCCTGATGCTCTTAGTCTGCTGCTGTGTTGCTGCAGGAAACCCTGAGACCGGGTGATCCATCCAGATAGACATCTACCTGACTTACAGTTCTGGTGGCTGGAAAGTCCAACGGCATCAGGCCAACCTCACAGTATAGCCGACCGAAACAGAGGAAGACAGCATGTTCTGAAGAGAGAGGAGAGAGAGACAGGAAGAAGAACAAGCTTTCCCACTTCTCCATTTGTACCTTCCACACCCCCAAATCGTTGAACAGTACCTCTCATTAGGCTCTGCCTGTTAAAGGTCTCACCATCTCCCAAAGCCATTGTACCTGGGACCAAGCTTCCAAAACATGACCCTCTGGGGGCAAGCCACCATCCAAGCCCTAGCACTGTCCTTTTGGATAGTTCAGGGAACAGTTGAGCACAAGCTGATAATCTTTCCAAACAAGTCTTAAGCAATCTGAAAGCCATCAATTCAGGTACATCAAGCATCAGTTAGTAGTGGAGTTTTTGTCCTCGTTACAGGGAAAAAGCACAGCACGAGGGAAAGGTGGAGGAACAGGCATCTGTCGAGAGCTGCTGCATGACAGGTGCCTCCACCCACCGTGCCTGTTTGTTCTGACGGCTCCAGTGGCCAACCTCACTGCTCATGTCTTTATGCTGTAGAAAGTCAAGGTTCAGAAAGCTAAAGCTGGAGACCGAACCTGATGGCTTTGCCAGTGTAGATGGCTGAGTGGCCGACGCTGATTTGTGTCTGCAGCTGCCCAGCTCCTCAACAGTCACACTTCCTTCTACACCAGGTGTTGAGAAAACGCTCATACCATCCTGTCCCCTGCTGTAGGGATGGAGAGGTGACACGCAGAGTGAACAGTGGCTAAAGCCGCTAACACTAGAAGCCTCGTTTCCCTGATGAATCAGCAACTGTCCCCTCCCCTGGCCTTCTCTTCCCCAGCCCATCTCCCTCTACCAGTTCCCCTGGGAAAACAGCAACTCTTCACCCCTGCGGCTTCTTCAAGTCCCTTGTGCAATGCTTGACTTGTAGCTTTGTTTTAATTATTTCTTACTTTGCTCTTTTCACTCTGCCTCCTTTGGAGGTTTCCTGAAAGGTAGCCTGGCCAGATTCCATCAGGAATAAAGCCCCATGTTCTCGAGCCCAGAAGTGTGGGAGTGTGGCAGGCATCTCTGGACCTGGCCCTCGCCTGTGTCTGCCCTCCTGCCCCTTCTCTGCTTTGTTCTCCTCTGCCCCTTGCCCAGACGCCTTTAAGGCAGCTTCTCTTGTGCCACGCCCAAGTCCCACTGAGGCCCACCACGGGGCTGCAGAAGACCGCCAGCCGCAGGGCCTGTGTGCCGAGGCTGCGCTTCTCCAACATGGGCTCTGTCCTTCCTTGTGGAATCTCCGACAGCTCTGCCCGTGAGTGTGGCACCCCCCAGGAGTCCCAGAGTTCCTGGCTGCACCATGGGGCTCAGGTGTGGCTGTGTTGTTGTGGTGCCCTCTGCTACCACAAGTTGAATCACGTAGGGAGCAGCCAGGACCTCAGCCAGTTTGTGGCGTCCCTCTGTCACGGCACTGGGGCAGGGACTGGGAGAGTAACTTAGAGGCCTCTGTCCTCAGCCTTTCATCTTGAGAGGGCATTATGGAGCTCCTTGGCATTGATGTGCTTCAGCTCTGTGACTTGGTTGACCCGGTTTTGATTTGGTGCTTCATACGGAGTTGTTTGGAACCCCTGAAGCTATAGTGCCTGCAGAGGAGATGTATACCAAGGGTGGGGATCTGGAAAACGAATCAACAAACGATCCTTACTTGTGGAAAAAAAAAAACCAAAAACGTTTAAAAGAAAAATACCTGTTTGGTATTTTTCTACCCACCTGCCCTTACCCCTACATTCTCAGCAACTAAATTTCAGATTTCCTTACGTTTTTACTCACAATTTGCAGTCTCCCTAGAAACCTCTGTCAGTGTTAGGAATCGGCCAAGAGGACTTGATGACGTTAACCAAGCTCCTGAGTGGTGCCAGTTCTCTGTCAGACACGCAGACTAGAAGTCTTCTCCCAAGAGCGGAACAGAGACCCAGAGATAGCCATGAGCTGGGTGGTGACTCTGGTGATGACAATGCCCAGGGCAGTGGGGATACCCAGAGGAGAAGCATGCCCAGCCCTGGGGTGTTCTGGGGGAGGGGCCGGCCTTGGTGCTGCTCTCTGCCTGTGGTGTTGCACAGCCCCCTCGTCATGTGGTCATGGGAACAGGGCCTTTGCTCTTTGGCTCTGTCACCTCATGGAGGTAGCACGTTTCCTGTCCCTTCACATGTCTTCAGCCTCGAGGTTCTCCCTTGTGCCGAAGGAGAAGAGCCAGAGACGCTGGTTGAACAGTCATGTTGATGACCACTGACCCCGCTTCTTTTTGTGTGACTGATAATAGTCATAGGAAATTGAGAAAACATGGCTATGAAAAACAGAATATTGGGCCAGCAGGTGGTGTGGTGGTCAAGGTGCTGGACTATATAGCCAACTGCAGTTCAAGTCCTATACCTGGTGGTTTGTTTTCTCACTTTCTCTCTCTCTGGTGAGCACATGTGCCCTATAACAATCTTAAAAAAAGAAAAGAAGAAGAAATAAAATCACTAAAAGAAAGAAAGAAAAGTGGAATATAACCACCCCAAATCTCTGCGCCCTTAGGCAATCCCCAGGAACTTTTAGTGTCTCTTAAATACAGCGTGTGCCCCTGTGTGCCACAGAGTCAGCTGTAAGGCAGGGGTTCCACAATGCATTTGGTGGACATACGTCCTCATGCCGTTTAATTAACAGGAGCATGCGCCACCCCCATAGCCTAGTAGTTAAGGGAGTCTGATCCCATGTGGCTGACTGCACAGTTCGAGGCCCAGATTCCGCTACTTGAAAGACATGCTGGGCATGCGTGTGTGTGTGTGTGTGTGTGTGTGTGTGTGTGTGTCCCAAATGCCAGTGTGATGGAGAAGAGAGAATTGGAGGAGAAGGTGGCCACCAGAGGGTGCTCTCTCCTTGTCCCCTCTGATGAGCACACGCACTCTGGCAAGTTTTTAAAAAAATACACACACACACACACACACACAGGTTACACTCCTGTGTATTTGTATGTGAAGGCACACACCTTCATTCATAAGAGCAGCTTCTCAGTGCTTAACAGTCTTCTGGCACTGGCCCCTGGCTGAGTGCTTCCCACAGATGAACTAGGCTTTTTTCAACCTATGAACCTCTCTGGTTTCTGTCACCTTTTTCTCTTTTTTAAAAAAAAGGGAGAAAGCTGACTCAGGTGTGGGAACGCCTGGCCTGGGGTGGCACACTGGCTCGCTGGCTCTGGAGCGCACACAGCTCTCATGCGTGCCTGGGACACCCAGCTTTCCACACTCT